ACGGCTGGACCAAGTCTGGTCTCAAATCCAGTTCATAAGTAGCGCTGTGCCACGCATGGACTGACATCGGTGCTGTCACTGTGAGCAAAGTACTCCTGCCTGACCTGGCGACGGGACTTGGGGCCGGAATCTCGGGGTGAGCCGCAATTCGCTGCTGGAGATGAAGGACGAGTTTGGTGTACATGGTTCCGTTTAGAGTTATCAACTGTCAGATGGCTTTTTTTACTCTACGTGCTGGATGCTTTGTATTGCCATGTAGTTAATAAAACAAGCTGTGTCCTTCATCCTCAGTTGACTGAGCAATTCTCGGCGTGGGTGAATAACGAGCGGTCAATTCCTATCATCCATCGTACTATGCACTACCAAATTTGAGACTACTATACTTCTCGGTAGGAAAAGGATAGAAAAGGTATGTGCGCACGCTATACTCCGTAGGCCAAGTGCGACAATCAACGTCACGTCGCTTGATCCGCGGCTCGTTTTGAGCCCCATTACAGCGTATCATTCGCCACCGTCAACGAGGGGCGAGGAAGGGGTCTCAGTAGCTTATAACCATGGATGAAAGCTGAATCTGCTTGCTTTCTACCGTATCAGAAACCTATCCGGAATTGTCGAGGTTCCTATTTTACCCTATGATGCTTACATTGAATAGGAGGTGTACGTTACCGCCAATGACCAGTAATCTGATCAGGTACTAGTATTACCTGACAGCAGTCAGTTGACACGGGCTACGTAGGGACATGAACGGCCAAGAGGCAGGCGATTTTAGAGATCACAGATGGAGGGGCGCAGATTCATTCTAGGCTATCTACGGCTTGGGTGCTGTAGCCTGTACGAGCCTGGGTGATGGCTGGATGGGTCCAATGTGCGGGAAAGCTCTCTCCGCAATTATTTCAAGAGATGATCCTGCAGCATAAGAGGGGGGCCAAGTGGGCCATACCGAAGCACCAACGACAAATCGGCGTCAGAATACTCAGGCACTCGGGCTCGACAGTAAAAATAAGTCGATGGCCATTGCTTCCCCCGCACAACAATGGTGTTGACAAATTGCACGTTGTAGTAGTCGACGTGACGATGGACGAATGTAGTTCGTCTTCGGATTTGAAGATGGGTGCTTCATACTTATTTATGTTGAGGAATGAGGAGGTTTTAAATCGTGCGTCCTGAGTGTCTCAGGTTGGTCCAAGGGACTCCACTTCGCATTGTAAGAGATGTCTGCTCCGTCGACCAGGTAAAAGGAGGTCCGAGTGTAACCCAACATCCATGAGAGAATGACGTTGACGAGTATCTACATCGCGTTGAGGAAATAATTTCTGCAACCTCAGAAAATGACGACTAAGCCTCAACTCAGAAAAGAACAGTACTATGGAGTGCCTGATCCTGAACCCCCCCCAGCCTTCCCTATATATGTAAGGCACTACCTAAGTACATATTTTCCAACCCCCATAAGCGTTGGAAGATGGAATGAAGGTAGAAACCCTCGACCCTCTACATTTCTGGTCCCTTGTCCCTCCTAGATATATTAATTAATACTGGTCTCAATGCAATTGGTCGGCATTGATATACTTGCCAGTCTTGGTAGGAAAATGATAATGAACGTGACCAACCCAGGCACAACTTTCATCGGCTAGTCTAGCATCTGTCTCCGCATTCTTCGAAATTAGCCCAATGCACTATCCATGCTTCCAACCCTTGAGTTCTTGATAAAACGCCAGCATTAGCTGCTTGGGTCGAGGAATACGGAGTACATTATATTATTGTTGAATCTAGAATCTTCCTTTCGTAAGAGAAAAGAGATGGAGCATCAGCTGTCAACCCCGCTCGTCTCCAGTCTATGGCTGTCGTAAGAACATCACCTTACACCAAGCATCATTGAGACCAAGCCAAAGACAACCGGATCGTCTTTCTCCTAATGCGCCATTGGCAACTTTGTACCGCCGGACGATCGTCAACTTGACCTCCAGAGACCCGCCAGGACCCGCTTAAGAGAATGCCGTCTAGTGGTCGACCGTTTTCCTACTCCTGCCACCGTCATACTATTAGGTACCTACTCACATCACAGTCAACCAAGTACGGCAACAGAAGATAATATCGTGATTCTACTAGATCTAAGCACTTTATTAATATTAACAATATTATTGCAGTCATTGGTGAGTTGGTCAGTCTACTGTAATCTTACCTGAAATCTCCTGTCAGTAGATTGATTGGGTTAGGAAAGGTAATCGATCGGCTGTCGCCTCTTCCTATTAAAACAGCATATAAATCCCGACTATAGAGTATCGAGACTGAGTCTAGGGTGGTCGATTTATATGATATCAAAGAATTATCTTCAGCAACAAAGAAACAATACAGTCTGCACCGACTTAGCTCGGAAAGAGCAGACTCCATTGAGGGGACCGATATAGTCCCAAGTTAGTATCTAAAGTAGGAGAGCTGTACTTAATGGAGTCTCAAGATCAATCTTGCGCCACTTCTCGGTGCCCCGACCCGTGGCTCGATCTAGTCCTCTTGTCACCCCCAAACCAAAAAAGCCCAAAAGTGGCCTGAGGTTCATTAGTTTACTTGCATTAAGTTACCTTCCCTTAGGTTCTTCTATTTTGGATGACTTGGTACCTCCCTTAGACTTGCAACTTGACTGGGGTGTACAACCTTACTCCTCTTTTTCTTTCGATTCTTCTTCCTGGTCTGTCTCTCGGTGTTCCTTTCATATCTTCTTCTCCTTTCCCCGTTTCCCCCTCCTCATCCTATGTCCTATGTCGTTCTCATTCTTCCTCCCCTCCTTTAATATCCCCTTCTCCATCTGGGACACCGAACAACGTAACTCTCAATCCCCTGCATCGGCTACCGCATTCTAGAACGACTGCGCCGGTCGAATTGACATTTCCAACTCAGTTACGTTTCCGACAGTCACCACAACCCGTCCTCGCGATACCTACGCCGCTTTTCCTCTCCGCCTTAACGCATTCCCCTCCGCGACAAAGCAGTAAGATCACCAATTTCTTTCTTTTCTTTGCGTAACCACTATCATCTGTGTCGCATCTAATCGCAACGGAAATAGCTTCATCAATAGGCGATCGCAAATCCTCATACTTGAAATCCTTCCAAGATGCGCTGCTCCTAAGCAGATCTGCCCACAGTTCAGGCGTCAAGAGTGCTTCCACAACGTCATCTGAGGTCACGCTACCACCCTCGCACCACATCTTGAATATCCAATACTGCGCCGAGTGTGACATCGATTCTGTCGCGATTTCGATCCGACTACTTCATAGATTCTGTGGACAAAATTTAGTCCGACCAGAAAGTGTCGAAAATAAAAAAAAAAAAAAGAAAGAAAATAACAAAATTACCAGAAGGAAAAAAGAGCACTCTGTTCTCAGGCAAGCATCTAAGGACGATCTACAACCGAGATCCCATCATTTGCGCAACGCCTTCGCCTCAAACTTCTGTGCTCGTCTAGACCGGAAGCCTGGTCGCTTCTCTCGTCACCTTGCTCATTTCAGTTCGATTACGGAAAACAACGTTCTTTCATCATCGGGAAATTGGCTTCGTTTGGGTTTGGATAGAAAATAAAGGGATCGGTTTTACTCTAGACTGGTAAGTTTCCGACATCTTGATACGTCGGCAGCTTGCTCATAACTCAGGGGACGCTCGCACAGACTTGTTCACGAAATTATTCTGCCTTTTGTATTCGTTGAGAAGTGCCAGTGATACCCACGTCCATAAAGGATCTTGCGTTAAAAAGGGAGAATTGTACATTGTTACTTTCTACGGTATGTGTTGAGTCTCTGTCATGCTTTACCCCATTTTACACCCCGCAATCCCCACAAAAATGTCAACCATTTTCATGCGGCATGATACTCTCAATCGTGGCTTCTTCTGGGTTGTCTACATCTTCGCCGGGGGGGTGCTGCAACCGCGATTTACTACATCCCAATTTCAGTGTGTCGCAATCAAATGGTCGACCACATTGACTAAACAAGCCGAGACCTCCTTTTCTTTTTTCTACTTCTTATCCTTGAAATTGCAGTCAGTGGGTCGAAAGCTACCATCGTACTGTTCCTTGGGGCGACAGGTGCCAAAAATTGCCACAGAGCGCTTAAGTCAAATCTCATTGGCTGTTGCTTGATCTGGGCTGAATGGTCCATATCACGGCCCCGGCTTTGAGGTCCTTTGGCGTTGAACCTTCCATAGCTTTCAATATCGCCACCTCAAGCTACTTCCCTTGATATCGCTCAGTATAGACATTATTCCGTGCATCTGCCCGCTATCTACCCTGCCATTCTTCGCGTATCTGACTTAAACATTATCTTCATGCTATGCGTCTGCTCCATCTCATTCTCATTGACACTTCACTTCACTGGTGCAATTTTGAACTAACTTATCATGCAACAAGCTCATATTCTGCTAGGGTCGCCGAAGCTCCTTCTTAGGGTCAACGCTCCTTAAGCACATTTGCAAAGTTAATACGGCTTACCCTCTTATTTGATTCATTCTCTTGAAGTTGACCATACGAGAGTTGGTCTGGTTCTTATCTTCTTCTAGTGAATACCTTGTGCAGATTTACTTCTCGGCGTTGCACACAGAGTGGTGTTAAGAAAATCAGAATCACTCCCCTCCCTCTGTCACAGGATCCAAGCATCATCTTTATCAGATATCAGTGAGTTGATATCCCTTACCTTCCATCCGAAGGACCTCATTTCATCTTCACACGTTACACAGCCTCGGTGGTGTATCCTACTCAACCCGTTTGTGTGAACTTCCTTCATTATATCTGGTGTTGCTGTCCGGCCCGAAGTGTTTAGTCAGGCTCCATTCTGGATCACTGACGTTGGGCTCCTGCTCACCTCGTCTACTTTGCTAGCGTTCTCTAGACTCATACTGATCTGCTTTTTTCAGTCCCTAGGCTCTCAGCCGCGACTGCGCTGCTGCCAGTGATTCAAGACCTTTCTCACAATCGTAACGCTTTGAGATAGTCTGGGCATATAAGACAACAAGACAATATGGCCGCACCCTCTGAAAAGTCCACGCAAGAATCCAAACCTGCCGACCCGCCAGCAGTGTCCAGTAATACGCCAACCAGGCTTGAAAAAACCCATCCTGGAGTCCGTCGCTCGACTCCCGATTCGGAAGCTTTGGCATCCTCAGATGACGACGTAGAGCACTCGCATTTGCCGTCGACGTCTGCAGCTGTCTCTGCCCCCAAACCTACTCGCCGTACTTCATGGCTGAACGAGATCCCCCTCAATATGCCCCGGAAGGTGTCTCTGACTACTGGTTCCTTGATCTCAGGCACCGGTGCCTCTAACCCGACCAGCCCCGCAACCGACCACACCGGATGGCCTTCGGGGACAAGTCCTGGACTGAGCAGCCCAATGAATTGGAACCACGTAGGAAACAGCTCATTCACATGGGGCACAGGCATTTGGAATTCCGAATCCAGAAAAGAGCCGCCACCCCGACTCTCAGAGATTGTCCCGTCGCCTACGATGTCCAACGCATCCGCTGCTAACAACTATTTTGCTGATGACGTATTGAGTCCCACTGCCCGCACTACATCTGGAGAGTCGGCGATCCCGTTCTCTATCCCCCTTCACCCCACTCCCAAAACGTATCGCTCGCAGTCTTACTCCGTGGGACAGATGGATCCAGAGTACTTGAACACGATGGCCAATAAGTCGACGGCGCCGTACCCAGGTGGGCGGGCTCGGAATGCTGGACAATACTCCGCGCTGCAACACCGATCGTCTCGGCCAAGCCTCCTTGGAGAACTTGGTCATGACCCTGCCACTCTCGGTCGTGTTCGTGAGGACGATGACGATGGCGGTAGCGGTACCAGTTCCGACGGTAGTCTCAACGCTTATTCGGCGAATCAGGCCCGCACAATCGAGCAACTCTCGCGGGAGAATGCAATTCTGCGTCAGGCTGCAGGTCAACTGGATAACAGACTGAGAGATCGCGCCATGTCTTCCGCGTCCACTGCCAGTGGTTATGCAGTTGGTAGCAACTTGCGCAACCTCCACCGGATTCGTGGGAGCGTCCCCGAGGAGACAGATCTTGCTGTGGAGGATCTCGACGAAGTGGGCAATATACCCGGTTATAGCAACATTCACAGCAGTGCACGTAGAAGGTTTTCCGAGCATTCTGGTAACCTCGAGAAACAGCTGCCTTCCACTCTCACCCCCCTTGAGAACCGTGCGCTGGAAAGTATTCGTAAGGCCAATTGGCAGACTTCCCTTGGATTTGGCAGCCTCGCCGATATTCCTCAGAGCAGGCGACACTCTTTTGCAGATATTCCTATTCGGCACGCTTCTATTTCTGGCGACTCTCAAACGGCAGCCACCTCCCGGGCTGGATTGGGAGATCGGGAAGACCATCTCGTGAATATCAGTGATGGATCCCTTTCAAATGCCCAGAGCCAGAATCGTGAGTATCACCGTTTGCATGTGGCTTCTCGTCCCGAGGAACATGAAATGGAAATGGAATATTTACGAGCTCGTCAATTTGCAGAATCCTACTTTGCTCGCGACCAAGCTCTTCGTGTTGCCGAAGGACCCTCTGCAGTTCCTACTTCGCTTCACCAGGCTTATACGATGCCAAACGCTTACGGCCGCCACCAGTCTGGTCTTGCACATGGCCATCAGAATCAGCTTCTGTATATCGTGACTTTCAAGTGCCACCGTGCCGACGTTTTCTACATTCAAGAAGACACTGGTTTGCAGGTGAAACCCGGTGACTTGGTTATTGTTGAAGCGGATCGTGGCACAGATTTAGGCACTATCCAGCATGCGAATGTATCCTTGCAGAGAGCTCGGGAGCTGAAACAGCAGTATGCAGAGGAACACTACAAATGGCTGATGATGTTCTCTCGGCAAGGCCAGAACGGAGCCGCGAACGTGACGGGAAGTGTTCCAGCCTTGAGCGGAAGAAGCACTATCGGCGGCATGGGTCCTCATGGTCCGCATGGTGTGCAGGATTTAGCCGGAGATATCAAGCCTAAGCTCATCAAGAGACTTGCCCAGAACCACGAGATCCTGACGCTCCGCGACAAAGAGGGCAACGAGGCGAAAGCAAAGCGGGTCTGTCAGCAGAAAGTTGCCGAACACAGACTCAATATGGAGATTCTTGATGCCGAATTTCAAATGTAAGGATTACGCCCGGGCCATCGAATTCCTGGTACTAACTGCGACGACAGGGATTGGAAGAAACTCACTTTCTATTACTTTGCGGATTCATACATCAATTTTAACTCTCTTGTGACTGATCTTTTCAAGATCTACAAGACCAGGATCTGGATGTCGGCAATCAATCCAGCATCCTTTGTGACCCCGCCAAATGCTGGCTTGCCGCCTCCGGGAGGTGTTGGAAATGCCGAAGGCAGAGTGTACGGCGCAGCTCGAGACGGCATGGATGTTGGCAGAGACACGATGGGCAATAAAATCGGGCCCCTCCGCAGCACCTACACAGATCCTTATCAGTCTTTTTCCCAGGGTGCCCGACAGCCTGATTCCAGCCTTGGTGAACTCGCGCCCAGTGCCGATCCCTTCTCTGCATACCCGCCAAACGCTTATGGTAGTACCCTGGACACTGGCTATGTCGACTATGCCGCGCATAGTCCTGGAGTGGGCGGTGGTCCCTCTCGGATTCACAATGCACCAAATGACTGGACAACCCGGTTCCAGGGTCTGTCACTTGGATCTTGAACGAGAGCCATCGTACCCTTGGCTCAAGGTATCGCTGTCTCCTGTACATGATGTTCGCTGTTGAATCAGTGAAATGACCATGCACACTGTACTTCTCTTCTCCGTCTTCATGTTCTGTTGGGCTTCAACCTCCGAAAGTGTTCTTTATGCAGTGATTCCCATTTCTCCTGTCGTTCCTTTTCGACCTCGTCGGTTTTTGTCATTTCCTTTCAACGCTCTAGAAAACTTGTGTGACGGATCTGCTAAAAGATTTACGATCTGTCGCTATGCTGATACCTAATAGACCTCAACTCATGAATTGATGGCTTTCCTCTGGTTACTTTTCTGACCACACTCAAGCAGCTGTACATCAGCACTTGCACTTTTGTTCTTTTCTTCTTTTCCTTCTACGACCTTACATACACGTGCTTCTTGCGTGCTATCTCTCGTTCATTGCCATACTACTGTCCTGTTCTGTACTCGGTGCCACAATGACAGTTATGAATGACTTTGGTGCAGTCGTGATGGTTTGCAGGGTTGGAACAGTTGAGAGACTTTTATTTTCCCTTTCCCTTGCCGAAACAGAGAACGAAGAATATTGAAATTTTCTTACTGCTGGTAATGAAATTGAATTCTACATTTAGACAAGAAATAAAAATTGTTTATGCTTGCAAACTGATAAACTTCGCCTCTCTCCTCGAGTTCCTAGTATGGCAGAGATGTGGCACGTGCCCAAACCGCACCCAGCCGTTGCAGCCGTTGTTGCCTTGCGGCCTTAGGGCTGGACTAAGTGTCGGCCGACCAAACCTAATAAAGAAAAGGAGGATTTTTGATCCGCTGTTGACACCTTAGGCATAAACAAGGGCTAGCGTCAAAGCTGGTTGGTAGATGCGGTTAGGCTCGCGCTCGCCTAATTTGCTAGCGTCCCACACACAACACCTCACAGACGAGATCATCTCTCCTTCAATCTTTCCAGAGCGACATCGACGACAACCGACGACCTGCCACGCCGACAAGGTACGTATTCGCGTCCCTCAATTTGCGATAGAATCTGAACTCGAATTGATTCCAATAATCCGATTCAATCTCTTCGCAATTCTCCGATTCATCAAAGCTGATTGATTCCAGATGGGTGCCCTCAAGTACGTGGAAGAGATCCAAAAGAAGAAGCAGTCCGACGTGATTCGCTTCCTGCTGCGTGTCCGTTGCTGGGAGGTGAGAATTCCCCCCTCAATTTCGAACATTTGACATCCCGCCGGGAGGAGGAAGACCTCGTTCGCTTTGCCATAGGATACCCTCGAAAAAAGAGATTTTTTTTTGATTCTGGGTGTTGCTGGGCTCGGCTTCGAAGATCGCAAATTTCGCTCACAAAGCTTGCTTTTCTTTCCCGCCGGCGGATGATGTGGATGTGGCACACAAGACGAGTTATATTTGGACTTGTGTTGTCTTGCTATACACTCGTTGAACTTTGCTGAGAGTGCATCAATATAGCTCCGTCAACTGAACGCTATCCACCGTGCTTCCCGTCCTTCTCGCCCCGACAAGGCTCGTCGTCTCGGCTACAAGGCCAAGCAGGGCTATGTTGTCTACCGTGTCCGTGTGAGACGTGGTGGCCGTAAGAGGCCTGTGCCCAAGGGTGCTACCTACGGTATGCTTTGCGAATTCAGGATTTTCTCAATGTCAGAGGAGATTGGACTAATTGTGGCTTCGGATTACAGGCAAGCCCACCAACATGGGTGTTAACCAGCTCAAGTACCAGCGTGCTCTGCGTGCCACCGCTGAGGAGCGTGTCGGTCGTCGCTGCGCCAACTTGCGTGTCCTGAACTCCTACTGGATCAACCAGGACTCCACCTACAAGTACTTCGAGGTCATCCTCGTTGACCCCCAGCACAAGGCTATCCGCCGCGATCCCCGCATCAACTGGATCTGCAACGCTGTCCACAAGGTTCGTCTACAATGCTCTTACGACTCAGCGCGATTCTGGGAGTTTTGCGGCGCTCTTGCTAACATTTCCTGTATAGCACCGCGAGAGCCGTGGTCTCACTGCCACCGGCAAGAAGTCCCGTGGTATCAACAAGGGCCACCGCTACAACAACACCCGTGCTGGCCGTCGCCACACCTGGAAGATCCACAACACCCAGAGCTACTGGAGATACCGTTAGATGTAGACCATTGGGTGTTCAAGGGGGTTGGTGGTTATGGAAAATTTCTCTCTTCGAGGATGTGTTTATTCCGACAAAATCTCGCTTCTGTGACTCTGTCATTGAATCATCAGGGTGCGAGCCTAATGCAACAGATCTTTGGGATCGGATGTTAGCAAAAACCTTTCTCTCTGTTTCATTCTATGATTCCCTTAACGAAGTACGACGACTCTTTTCTTTCTTCAGGACGCTCCCTGCAGCTTGTAGTGGACTGGTAGGCTGAATGTAGACCAACGTTGATCCGCGACCAGTTGCAATTGATATCCACTGTGGGTGGTGTCAATTACCGGTTTGATGCTGAATAGCCGCAAGTGGAAAACGTTCGGAAATGCTGATGTTGCAGCAGTCTGGAACATGGTCTTTGGTTAACTAAGATACCACTTAGCACAAGTTGTCAACTTGGCAGAGATTGTGAGACTAGTCAGAGCTTCAGCGCCCAAAATAGCAGCAATTCGTGACATCCGAGCGTCACATCCAAGGCCAGCGCCTAAAACGCGGGTCGACCCCATAGCGGTGGTCCAGTAGGGCGACGCCGAGGTAGGCTGTCTCAAGAGTTGTAAGACATCATCAGGCCGATAATTTCTTTCATCCCGGTTTCTTTCTTACTTCCTGAATGCCTATTACTGTTTGATGGTCTTTAGAGATCTCTTGAAACTGTATATTCAAGTTGATACTGGTTCACTGTGGCTGAAGATCCGACTCTTCTAGCTGCAAAATAGCTCATGGTGACATTAACCGCTTTCTATCATTGCCCCTGACTAATCGGTCTCTTACTCATCAATCATCCACCACTATCATCATTAGAGTTGCATCAATTGCAGCTTCCTCTTTTGGTTCCCTTTTTGGTTCCTGAGGTCACTTGGTTCAGTCGATCTGTTCCAGGTTTTTTTTTTTTTTTTTTTTCGGCAGGATCCGATCCAGTTTAAACCTCCTTCATAACCCCCCGACTCCTATCAACCTAGTACCTACAACCTAGTACCTACGTTGCCTCCTTTCTATCTCTAACAAGCCTCTCTGTGGTTCCTGCACATACTCCCGTTGATCAGCCGGCACTCGTGCGATACCTAGTTTTACCAAGCCTTGAAGTAACTGCGTCTGCTTCTAGTCTACGAAGCACTTATTCCACGCCTGGAGTTGTTCCAGCTCACACAGTCACGAGATATACACAAGCTAATGCGCCCATATGCCGTCGCGGTCCGCGTATAACCAGCCTCATCCTCCGACTCTGAACTCCTCCGCCGTCTATCCAAACGCCGCCCTTCTTTCTTCTTCAGCGGAGAGAAGTGCACCACGCCACATTCAGCACGATGTCCACATCCTGCCGACAATGACCGGCAACCCGGCGACCTCGCCTCCCCACCATCGAGGGCATTCTCGTTCGATCAGTCACCCGTTTCCGTCCGCCTTTGGCGGCAAGAGACGCAACCCGAACCCGGGTTTCTTAGACTCCGACTCCGACGATGACGACGTTGAGGTGACCCATCTGCCTGATGTGCTTTCTAGTAGCCCCAGGAAAGCCTCCTCACGCCCGTTGCCAGGTGGTGAGGCGATCTCAACAGGGAAATGCATGACGTGCAACTCCACTGTTCGATGGCCGCGGGGGTTAAAGGTTTTTCGATGCACGGAGTGCTTGACTGTAAATGATCTGGAGCCGTACACTTCGAAGGATTTGGGGGGTCAAGGGAGCACGGGGAAGGATGGGAAGCCTGGTCTGTCCATACCGAGAAAAGGTGCGCCGAATTTACCTAGGAGCTCTTGCCGTTGATCTGGGGCTAACATACAGAAATAGCGGTTCCTCTCTCCGTGGAACGGACACGGTCCATAATTGATAATTGTGTTTCATCCTATCTGCGACGGCTTTTAGACGCGCCTGTGCCTCAAGGCTTCACATCGGGAAATCGGTCTAAAACCCCCTCGGCTATAGGGCAGGATGAAAATCGTGCGCATACATATGACCATGGTTCGGGATTACTGTCCGAGCCGCGCGTGGATGCTCGAGCGCGCAGTTCGTCTGCGTCCAGTAAAGCTGGGAAACCAGACTGGTTCAAGGGAGCCTCAAATTCTTTGAAGCCTACTGCGAGTTCCTTGGCGCCACATGCGGACGTTAGGGATCCTCGGCTACGTAGTCGCAATAATTCAGATGTGCAGATTCCGCCCAAAGGCGAACGCTTGCCCCGTGAAGCAGGAAGGTCGTCTGAGCGGGACGTCAAGGATCAATCTAGCAACCCTTACATCTTCAAGCCGCTAGAAGAGTACATACTAGCTTCATTTAAAGGATGCGACAGTTTGAACGTGTCCTTTAGTACAGCACAACCTCCCTTACTGGCTGAGAACGCCAGTCCCGATCATAGCCCTCCAAAACCGAAGGTGGAGAGCAATGATGCGCTCTCTCACGCGCATCCAGCATTTGAGATCGATGCAAAGACCCTTCTGATTGGAGACCTAGCCGAAAATTCTTCTTGGTGGATGAATGACGGGGACCCAAACTATGGCCTTGGCCATACACATTCGAAAGGGAAATCCTCAAGTCCTTCGAAAGCAGTTACCTCTAGGAGTCCGCGGATCAATTGGTCTCAATTGGCAGAGTGGCATCATTTGATCATGACGGCTGGTTCGTCATGGGTCGAGCGCTGGACAGGCATGAGGCCTGTTGATGAGCGCGGCCAAGAAGGTCACGGGCGGAGCAAGTTATGGGACTCTGTGGATATGTGTGCGATTGAGAGAGATATTACGGAATCACGTCTACATCTTCACAGAGCCTTTCTCAAAGTGACGGAAAATCTGGTTAAGCGGCCACGACGACCACTACATAAACCAGAAGAGATAAGGTTCCTTCTCATACTCCTCGCAAATCCGTTGATATACCCATCAAGCTCTTCCTTGCGACCTGTCAATCTCACGCAATCCCAAGGTGTCAGGCGGCCGTCCCATCCAAAGGAAAGTGGTGAGAGGATACCGCTCCGTGATGCTAGACCTTCTCGCAAAGAACAATTGGGACCTTCTGCGCCTCGCAGTGGACCTCCAGGCCATCATTTTGGCATCGTCAAGCGCATACTGGGCTTAATGGCACACTTGCCCAATGATTGCCATCACTATCTTGTCTCCTGGTTTTCACGCCTTCCTACTGGACAGTTTGAGAAATTAGTGGACCTGGTGGGCAGCTTCGTTACTTACCGTCTTAGTCGGCAGCAAGGACGGAAACGCAGCGAGGCTATCGAAAATGACAACAGTCTGGTACCCAGTTTCAGTAGTGCAGCTGGGAATACTCCTGCGGAACTGCACGCTGCCATTAATGGTAGAAGTCCCAGTAAGCCAGCAAAAGACAAGCGGAATAAGCCCGTGGTGTACGGTGATGATTGGCAGATCCGGGCAGCAGCAAGGGTGATGTCTCTGCTATTTACAGCAAACGATACGAGTGTTGCTCGGAAGCCAGATGCAGCATTTGGCCAGGAAGCAAGCTCCTCGACAAATAGAGCTGCGGGGCCTCGCCGAGGACACAAGATCCCAATCAGCGCCTTCTATAATACACTACTGGATTATTCCGACCTCGTGGCGGATTTCGAAGCCTGGGAGTCAAAAATGGCCAAGTTCTCGTTTTGTCAATACCCTTATTTCCTCAGTATTTGGGCGAAAATACATATAATGGAGCATGACGCTCGTCGCCAGATGGAAGTCAAAGCTCGGGAGGCTTTCTTCAATAGTATACTGAGTCGAAAGGCGATAAGTCAGTATCTTGTATTGAAGGTCCGGCGAGATTGTCTGGTTGACGACAGTCTACGAAGTGTCAGTGAAGTGGTGGGTTCTAACCAAGAAGAGATAAAAAAGGGCCTACGCATTGAGTTTGTTGGCGAAGAGGGTGTTGATGCGGGAGGACTTCGCAAAGAATGGTTTCTTCTGCTTGTTCGGGAAATTTTTGACCCTCATCACGGTATGTCAGACGGCATTGCATACCAAAACGAAAGAGAGCTCATGCTGATTGATACAGGACTCTTTCTATACGACGAGGACTCCCAATTCTGTTATTTTAATCCTTATTGCTTCGAATCATCTGAACAGTTTTTCTTGGTCGGCGTGCTTCTTGGACTGGCTATTTACAATTCAACGATCCTAGACATTGCTCTTCCGCCTTTTGCCTTCAAAAAGCTGTTGGCTGCTGCTCCGCAGACCAGCGGGCCGCAACCATCGAGTGCCCGGTCGAACTACAGGTGTACTTTGGATGACCTGGCAGAATACCGTCCTGCACTCGCAAAAGGCCTTCGGGCTCTTTTGGAGTTTGATGGAGATGTTGCCGATACATTCTGTTATGACTTTGTGGCCCACGTCGATCGCTATGGCGAGGCTGTTGCGGTGCCTCTCTGCCCTGGAGGCGAAACGAGGCCAGTCACCAATGCGAATCGACGGGAGTTTGTGGATTTGTATGTTCACTACATGCTAGACACAGCAGTCACTCGACAATTTGAGCCCTTTAAAAGGGGATTCTTTACCGTATGTGGCGGCAATGCCCTCTCGCTGTTCCGACCCGAGGAGATCGAGTTACTTGTTCGCGGCTCGGACGAAGCACTGGACGTTGCCTCGCTTCGAGCGGTTGCGACATACGACAATTGGTCTCATCCCCGGCCGGAGAACATTGCGGTTGTGCGGTGGTTCTGGGAATTCTTTGAGAATACCGACCCCCAGGCGCAGAGGAAGATTCTTTCGTTCATCACAGGTAGTGACCGAATACCGGCCATGGGGGCGACAAGTCTTACGATCCGGCTGGCATGCCTCGGAGACGATACGCCGCGGTATCCGATCGCACGAACGTGTTTTAACACACTAGGACTGTACCGATATCCCACTCGGGAGAAATTGGAGCGGATGCTCTGGGAAGCAGTGGGGAACAGCGAAGGGTTTGGACTGAAGTGATCTAATATGTTGGGGGAAACTCCGAATAGACACCTTGTATACACACCTCAGGGGCGGGTAACCCTGTAAGGAGCTGATCATGAGACCTTGTCAATGCCATTTTTAATTGAGGGATGTCATATATCTTCGGTGAGCGGTAGCCGCTAAATCTCTGATGTTCGTACCTTTCCATCTGTCTACTCATACCTGTCTCATGGTCGTAGCTGTTCTAGTCTGTCACATGACGCCAGACGAAGAAAAGCAAAGAGACGGGTCAAAAAGTGTTGAGACGTATCTATTGGTCTCAATTATCGAGCTCCCCCCCCCCAGATTGGCGTGGGATTAGAAGAGTTCTAGACCTGAAAATCTCACCGTTGACAGTCGATATGTCCGAGGAGTGAAGATCCAGGTCATCTATTCATGCTTAATCGGTGTAAGGATTCGATCTGTTCTCAGGTCATGGGACACTACCGATAAGAGCAGCCGAGCCATTGACTTTCGGGGTTCCCGGGGCAGAAATAAACAAAGACTGTTTGGGGGATGCATGTGCATTGTCGCAGTCAGTAAGTACTATCAGCATCCCACGTACAGTACAGTAGTGCAGTAGACAGCTGTTGTGGAGAAGCGGTGTGCGATATCCTTGTGGACGTACAGAGTACAGGTAGGTAGTCTAGATCCTGGGGGGGGAAGAACAGAGCAGACTTGGTTTGGCATGCGGAAGGTACTATTGTCAGACAGTATTTGTTTTAATTTGTTCTTGGAGGTTGACTCGTTGGGAGTGGCAGGTGAATCATACCGCCATATTATTATTGTTGTTTACTTCCTATCTACTTTCTATCTAGTCAGGAACAACAATATGCTATCTGACAGCGACAACCAACCTGTTTGCCTATGACGAGGTCATAGCGGGGCCAAAACGGGGACATTCTAGGAGAGTCTGTGGGGGAGGAACGTCATTGCGGATACCGGAGCTCTGCCACCGAGGAAATGGTTTCCACTGTTTGTGCTCTGTTGCTTTGGGAATAGAAGCAAACTTGGGCGTGATGGTTAGTGTCTAGATGGATTCCAAGGATCAAGAGCTAAAATGGAGCTATACTCCCCAAGTGAAGTCATTTTATCCACTTGTTTCCCGTGCGCCTTGATGTTTTGTGAAGGTTTGCTCTGATAGAGTCCAGATGGAGATATCGTATTGGGAATACCGATGGTGTGTACTTTGGGTATGGTCCACTGGGACATGGTATACTGTACACGTCGGTCACTGTCTGGTATCAATTGATCGACTCACAAAAGTCAATTGATATTGCAGATAGGAATTGAATTGATCAGCGTGAAAATAAAGATTACCACCAGCGTGAATATCAGACTAAAAGGCAAAAGAATATAATATTTTTTTGCCAGTAGCGTCGGGGAATCGGGCTGGGAGGCACAAGGACATCACCTGACAGTGGAACTCCGGGCTGTTTGTGCTAGACCCACTGCGATGGAGCGTAGTGTCCCGAGTTTAGGACCAGCTTCCGTCGATGGCTGATTCCGATACAGTTTGTGCTTGACCCGCCCTGGTAAAGTAGATGAATGAATGGAGGAAAAGATGGACAGTCTGACTTCATTGGCACCAGAGAATGCATACCTGAGGTTAGCTTTTGCTGTTCCCCCTCAGTTCCCCTCCTTCACTGTTTGGGATTTGGATCCCTCGAAGTAATAAGAAGGCTTGTCTTCCCTTCTCTTGTGTTCTCACTTCCTCATCTTCTCTCCATCTTCCTCTTCGCTTTCTTTACTGCTTCCCTTATCTTCCTTTCTCGGTAAGTTCAACTCGCTTCACTTGTTCTCTTTGTCGAGCCTTGCCTTGAGTATCTGATATTGACTGCCAGGGGTTATAGATCGCAAAGCTTCATTCCACCTCACATCAATCACAATGGGTTCCAATCTTCCTCAGACCATGAAGGCTCTCAGATATGAGAAGCCTGAGGTCCACAGCGTTGTCCAGGTCCCTCTGCCCACTCTCCGTGAGAACGATGTCTTGGTATGTTGTCGACCCAATAATATTCTGCACACCTCAGAATCGGTTGGCTGACCTATAATGCATGTATAGATCAAGGTCAAGGCTTGCGGTGTCTGCGGTACCGATCTGCACATCCACGAGGGTGAATTCATTGCCAAATTCCCCCTGGTTCCTGGTATGCCTGATGCTCCCTCGACAATCGCCGTGGTTCGTAAACATTAGACTAACCGCGGCAGGCCATGAGACTGTTGGCGTTGTCGCTGCTGTCGGCTCCAAGGTCAAGGGTTTCGAGATTGGTGAGCGTGTTGTTGCCGATAACTCTGAGCTCTGCGGCGAGTGCTTCTATTGCCGTCGCGGTGATGAGCTGTTTTGCGAGCACTTTGAGGCTCATGGTGTCACCATGAACGGTGGTTTTGCTGAGTACTGTGCCTACCCTGGTATGTTGTGTAGCCGCGACCCAACCACAGTATCTTGCAACTAACCATACCGGACTGTAGCCAAGAGAGTCTTCAAGATCAAGAACCTCTCCGATGTTGACGCCACTCTCCTCGAGCCTGCTTCCTGTGCCGCCCACGGTCTGGACAAAATTGCTCCCAAGATGGGCTCTTCTGTTCTGCTGTTCGGTGCTGGCCCCACTGGTCTGGTATGTGGTTTCTAGCTTTCTGACATGACCGGAAGCTGACTGTGCGTAGATCCTTGCCCAGATGCTCCGTCTGAACGGTGGATGCAAGGTTACCGTTGTTGCTCCTGAGGGTCTCAAAATGGAACTGGCCAAGAACCTCGGAGCCGGTGACGAATACGTCGCCCTCTCCCGCAAGGACCCCTCCGCTCAGTTCGACAAGCTCAAGTCGGAGAACCCCTACGGCTTTGACATCGTTGTCGAGGCCACTGGTAACCTCAACATCCTCAACGATTCCATCAACTATGTTCGCCGCGGCGGTAAGCTCGTCGTGTACGGCGTGTACGCCAACAAGGACCGTGTATCGTGGCCCCCTGCCAAGATCTGTGAGTTTTTCTTCCCCTTGTTTCCACCGAGTTCTTACTAACAACCACGTTAGTCGGTGACGAGATCAACATTGTCGGCAGTTTCTCCGAGGTGTACAAGTTCCCTGCTGCCATCGACTACCTTGACACGGGCAAGGTCAAGGTCAACGGCATCGTGAACAAGGTCTTCAAGATCGAAGAGTGGGAGCAGTGCCTGGAGTCGATGAGAAACAAGTCCGCCATCAAGGCCGCCATTGTCTTCGACTAGAGAGTTGACTGGATAGACTTGGGTTGGGGTCAGACAAAATTCTGAGGTTTGAACATACTTTCATGTAATGATTTATGACATATGCGATGATATTATTCCCTGAATAATAGAAAGAAGGTTATCACCAGTAGTTGCAAAGTCCTAGCCCAGGCTCCTGAGAGGGCCGGCGTGGTTATACCTGTAGGCGAGCGAGGACCTTGAGGGAGTGGTGACTTGTTGGTGCCATCAGTCCCCAAGGTAGCAGTGACGTATCTGCGGATTGGCCTACCACTCCCCCATGCAACAATACATATCCGTAAATTACTAGTTTTGATGCAAATTAATCTGTTCGAGTTAACTTCTGTGATTAGCAATTCATAAATTTGTAAAGTCTAAAGTCGAACGCAGGAAAGCAAGAACCACCGTTGTAAAGGACTGCATCCCAATCCACTCCGCTCCACCTCCAATAATCCTCCAACGCTCACAACTTCCCCCCACCACACCTCCAAACTTGTCCCTCAACTGGAAACAAAAAGAAAGAAAAAAGAAAAAACGAAGAGAAAAATGGTCAAACCTCTAACTTTCAAAGGCGACAAGCCCAAAAAGCGCAAACACCGCGAATACGCCTCCACGGAATCGAAATTCGGCGCGGACACAGGCACAAGCACAAGCACAAGGACCCCCGCAGAGGAAACCCAGCACCTAGAAGACAGCGCCGAAGACCAGAGCTGGGTGTCGGCCGACACGCCGTCAGATATCGCAGGCCCGGTGGTGCTCGTTCTGCCGTCCGACCCGCCAACGTGTATCGCGAGCGATGCGAACGGCAAGGTGTTTGCCAGCGAGCTGGAGAATCTGATTGAGGGGGATGCCGCGACGGCGGAGCCGCATGATGTGCGGCAGGTGTGGGTTGCGACGAGGGTGGCAGGAACGGAGTCGTTGAGTTTCAAAGGGCATCATGGGAAGTACGTCGGCCACGCGTCTTAGGAAATTTCGTTGGAAAGGGAAACGCTGATAACTGATTGCGACAGATACCTAAGCTGCGATACCTACGGCATCCTGAGCGCCTCCGCGTCCGCCATCTCCCACTACGAATCCTTCCTTGTGCTCCCCTCGACCGATATCCCGGGTACGTTTGCGCTGCAGACTGGCGGAGGCGACAAGGAGGCGTTTGTGTGTGTGCGGGAGGCTACGTCGAGCAGCAAGGCGAGCGGGCGCGTGATCGAGGTGCGCGGCGACGCGAGCAGTCTCGGGTTTGAGACGACGCTGCGGATCCGCATGCAGGCGCGGTTCAAGCCGCGGATCAAAGCGAGCAAGGAGACCAAGGCGAGGGAGAAGATTAGTCGGAAGGAGTTGGAGGGGATTGTGGGGAGACGGCTGGAGGAGCATGAGGTAAAGAGGTTGAAGAGGGCGAGGAGGGAAGGGAATTTCCATGAGGAGGTGCTGGATGTGAGGGTTAAGGGGAAGCATGACAAGTTTGCTTGGTAGGTTTTTTGCACCTTTTTTTGGGGGTCTGGCTAATGCTGATGTCGATGTTGGTAGATTGGCGGGAGAACCTATGAAGATCGATTACCTGCGTTTGAGATTGAGACGCACTGAACAGTCGCATTCGGGAATGGCCAGCAAAAGGGCCCTTGGAGCAGATGACGCGAGAATGCGTGCTACAGTTCTACGAGCGCGACATTCTAATCTGCTGGGGAGGGCGGGCCTAGACTCATGCAAGATTGAGCGTGACGCGCCTCGATGTTCATAATACACCTCGAATAATGTGGTGAAGGACTTCGTCAGGCCAAGAGACGCTTTGAAATAGTCTGGTTTGTTCATCTGTATGCATTATCATCTATATGATGAGCAAGAACTAAAATAAACCTGAAGTATTATCATAAACCAAGGGTATCATCCCGCCGCAACACCGTACAATATATCCCCAATCCAGTAGAATCCGGCAATCAATGCTCAGTCACAACATAATCCCGATGAACTACCATATCGTCCGCAGGCATCGAGTAGTATTCCGCTGGTAGAACGCTTTTCTTACACAGCGGGCAAAGACTGCTTATCTGTGTAAGCGAAACGTCGATGCAGCTCGGATGAAAGATATGGCCGCATGGAAGTTCCCGCACAATCGTTGTCCCCGAGACAAAGTCATCAAGACAGATTGCACAGGTGGGCTGTGACCTGCTGGAAGAGTCGCTGCACTCTCGCACGGAGGGAGGTCGACTGCTCTCACACGTAATTGCAGTTTCCGGTAGTCTAATGGTGGAACTGCTAGCTTGCATATCTGTCTCCTTGTAGACTAGACGAGGCTCTTTGTGGTCAACAGATCTTATCGAACTTGTATCATCGGCCCTTGACAGCGTAATTTGGGTTTGACTAGGGCTGCCTTTCAAAGACGCTTTTGACGGAATGTTGACAGAGGGGTAGACGTATGTGGGAATTTGATCAAGAACCTCCCGCGAAACCCTAATTTGATGTAGCCCGAAATTTTCAATATCCGCTTCACCGGCAGCGATGCGACGCTCGAGGGCTTGTCGGCGTCTCTTCTGCACACATTGATAACATAGGAGGATGACGATACTGAGAACCAGTACCATACCCAAAATTGCGAGAATGAACCCCCAGAGACTGGGCATGTTTCGATGATCCTCCGCTTCGGAAGAGACAGAGCAAAGTTAGTCAAACGGATCCCGCATAGCAGCATTCCTTGTGAACTATAGGTCGTCTTACCATAATCTATGAGAGCAAACAATCGAACAATATCATGCTGATCCTGCGCCAGGGCAGAAGACTCATTTAGATTGCTACCCGTGTCAAATCTGACCAACGTCGCATTATCAGAGTACCACGACAGCTGGCGCATGAGTGTTTCCCCAGCAGGACCGGGGATTGCATAGACTGGATAGTTGTTCTGAGTTTTCCATGCTCCAGCATCACCCAGATCCCAGACAGAATCCTCCGGCGCGGGCGGCTTCGAATCGTTGGTTGAAGGTAGAAAGAAGATCAGCGCTTCCACGGCTTCTTGTCGCGACGCATTAAGAAATGACTTGGTACAATCGATAGATACCCACGGCGCTAAGCCGATGTTGGGGAAGCTCAACGGAGCGACATGGTTATGGCGAGTCGAATTGGACGGCACAAGCGATGCTGTGGCATTGTTGCATGGATCCTGAGGGTCAAGGCTAGGGACAAAGAGTAGTCCTCTTACTGGACCCTTGTCTGGTGCATTTTGAGTAGATAGCGTCTGGATTGTCCCGTCAAGCACTACACGGAGGCTCTCACTTTCCTGTTCGTAGCCGCAAGGTAAGCGGGCAACCCATTTGCTGGCATTGATTCATATTGACCTGTACCACCGGTGAAACATACATTGATTGCTCGAGTTGCATTCGTTACTTTCCCAGGTCCTTCGAAAGACATCGGAGCCGTAGCTAGCGATTGGGCGGCTATGATCGTCAGACATGGTCAGTCCAATTTCCAACAAGGCACTGTCTACAGCGCATGACTATACCAGAGGTATAGACGAATATTGCAAAGGAAAATAGGCACAGTGCACGATCTGAAGGTGAGGATGAGGGATCATACACATGCTTGCGATATACCAACACCACTGCCAGCCAGCATCAATGAATGGCGTTCAAGAATATGAAAGGTCAAGATCGAGTAGAAGACAACATTTCGTACGATTAATAGTATGCCAAGATGTTGTAATGCATATGCATAGCTTTTTCAATCAGGAAAATGCAAAAGCAAACTACAGAGATGTAAAGGAAAGAGGGAAAAGGTCAAAAGGTTGTTCTCAATAGTTGCAGGTGATAGATAAATAATAGGTAGCGCCGAAATCGACGATCATCCCAATAAGGTCTTCTTCTCAGGCACCGTAGGAGGACGAGACCCATCCTACGGACCTTGTCCTTTTGGCCTTAATTCTTTTTCTTTTTTCTTCTTCCCTGTTGTCAGCGTGCAGATTTAGATTCAGCTCCTTGGTCGAAGATGGAAATGCCGTTTGCGGTCGGACTCTGATGACGTTTGCGGGGACTGGTCATACATCGAGAAACCTATTCTGAAAAAATGGGAGGCATTCGACGAGAGGGGTTCACAGGTAGCCTGTCCCTGCAGATGATAGTTACTGTCTGCCACCGTATCATCAGCAGAATCTTCAGTCATGTCCATCATCCGGTCTTATCCTAGGCAAGCTGTCTGTGCTCCATCCCACGCTGATCGACAAAGTGGAGCTCCTGCAAGGAAGGATACAGTACGAAGCACTGTTGATAGATGATAGATCAGTCAACAGGTGTCCACATCAAGACAAGACTCGAGTCCATAGATCATGTCCTATCACTCTCAGCACAGGAAGGAAATTAAGTCCGTAAGGTGAATATCTGTACCCCTGAGATGTCGTAGAAAGCGTGAATTGCTTTGAGTGACTCTTATCACCCGAAGCGGAAGAGCTGAAGGCCGTATCTTCACGTGATCAAGATCACGTGTATCCATCTCTATCAATACTGCGATAACGATCAGCTCTTGTAAACATGCCACCAACACCACACTGTCTCTACTCAACCATTTTCTCTGCAAATCTTGCATCTAGTATGCTCTAGAGGGCAGCTAGTCATCAACTACTTATCAAGCTCTGGACCATTGGTCTTTGAGCAAGATAATACCACTTCAGCGACGAGTTGCGCCTCTGAATCCCTACCCTCACGCCATCACTCCTGTCCTCTCAATTCCTCACCTAAATCCTTCCTCTCATAGCATTCATAGTTTGAAGATCACGTACTTGAACTGTCTCAAAATGCCAGGTGCCAGCAAAGGCAAAGGCAAAGGCCGCGAAGCCCGTCCTTCGCGAAGCCGCAACACCACCCCCAACTCAAGCTTCAGTGCTGGGGCAACATCCGTGGGAGTTCAGGCCAGTTACCTCGAAGTTGACGTCTCGAAACTGCTCATTCCGGGCACTATCCAGTATGGCGAAATCCTCGACCGTATGAGCGGGGTTGGCCCGATCCCTGATTCCAAGTCTCTTGAGTCGTTGATGGAACACCTCAAGACCCTCAGTCAGCTAGCAGAGGCTCGTGTTGATGCCTGCGATGCCGGTATTAGAGAGCTCTCGCAGAAGCGCAAAGAGGTTGTTGAAGACCAGGAAACATACGACCGCGAGTCTGCATCCAAGGTGAAGCGTGACGTCGACGATGAGGAAGAGGAACCTATCAGAGCCTCTAAGGGAGGAAAACTGAAGAAACGTAGGGAGCGTGGAGGAAGCACAAAGGAGGACCGCCCGTTGGCACATGGTGCTCATGACATCGCCCGCCAGGACGGCGCCGAGACAAAGGTCGAAGGAGGTACGTTTTGTTATGCCTTTTTTTTGAGACATTCACACGATGACATCTCTGCCAATTTCTCTCACCTGGACTTCCCCTTTTATAACAATACAAACTCCTCCAACTTCACCACTTCCCTGTCCTTCCTTCTGCATCTCTGTCATCTTTCGTCCTGTCTTGCTCTTCAGCTTCCAACATGGATCCAGCTAATGAGCCAAACCTAGCCGCTTCCCCAGTCTCCAAGAAGTCGAAGAATATGGCTTCTGAAGTCACCTCTCCCACTTCTCCCTCGTCTCTGACTTCTCCCAAACACACTGCTACTGCTGGCGATGCTTCCGCTACTGCCGAGTCTCCCTCCGAGGACGACAGCGATGAGCACCAGCCTGAACCCGCCCCGGCCATCCCTCAGGTTCAGGTGTTTGGTCCGAACCCGCTCAAATTCGATGATCCCACCATCTACCATATTCGTGAAGTCACTCCTGATATGACAGATGAGGAGAAGAAGGAGATCTACTGCGTCAACCGTTTCCCAAAGAGTGATCTGAGCCACATGATGGCTGGCGTTCCTCCAGACAAGGATTTCAGCAATGCGAAACCTACCAATCAAGTCAGCGCCAACACTTTCCTTTCTTACATCGAACCTTACGTGCGTCCCCTGACCGAGGAGGACATTGCATTCTTGAAAGAAAAGGTTAGTTTCATTGCCGAATGGCAGCTTCGCGTTAGCTAACAATCTACCAGGGCGATCGCACTACTCCTTTTATTATGCCTCCTCGCGGCAAGAAGCACTACACCGAGATTTGGGCCGAAGAGGATGGACTGATGAACGTCGATCAAGCCAACGGCGATCGCGAACGTCTTCCCCTGAACCAGGGACGCGGCAACATCGATCAGGTCACTGACGAGACTGTTGAAACTGACAAGGTCTCCGTCGGACCCTTGGTCAGCCGCCTTTATTCCCTTCTTCGCTATGAACACCGTGCAGATACTGACGAAAACTCTGCAACTGGGGCTGCCAATGGAGAGGCTTCCACCAGTAACTTCTTTAACGGAGATTCCATGGATATTGATCAGCCAGCTGGTGAATCAGACAGCAAGCCACTTCCTTCCGCGACTTCTTTCCCCGATGCTTCTCCTAGCGGCTTCAAGGTCCCCGCAGCCAAGCTCGATCATGCT